TTCTTAATCTCAGGAAACAAACTGAGGGTTGCTGGAGTGGTGGGGGTGGGAGGGATGGGGTGGCTGGGTGATAGACACTGGGGAGGGTATGTGCTATGGTGAGCGCTGTGAATTGTGCAAGACTGTTGAATCACAGATCTGTACTTCTGAAACAAGTGCAATATATGTTAAAAAAAAAAAAAAGAAAGAAGAAGATAGCAGGAGGGGAAGAATGAAGGGGCGTAGGTCGGAGGGGGAGACGAACCATGAACGACGATGGACTCTGAAAAACAGAGGGTTCTAGAGGGGAGGCGGGTGGGGGGATGGGTTAGCCTGGTGATGGGTATTAAAGAGGGCATGTTCTGCGTGGAGCACAGGGTGTTATGCACAAACAATGAATCATGGAACACTCCATCAAAAACTAATGATGTAATGTATGGTGATTAACATAACAATAAAAAAATTTTAAAAAAAAGAGATCACAAAAATAAATAAATAAATAAATAAATAAACTTGGGGAAAAAAACATTTCACTGTCTGTGATTCTTACTTTGGAATTTAAAACAGGCCTCACCTCTCAGTAGATGCTCAATAAGCATTCATTAAGTGCATGAATAAAAAATAAAATGAAACAAAATCCAATAATACTGATTAGATCTGAGACACTACTAGACTCCTCTAATCTAACTTGTGGCCCACACCTCCTCCAGCCTAATGCAACTCTGAAATGATTAAAAGCTTCTTGAAAGCATGCATTGAGCAAACAAATATTGGGAGAAGAGGGACAAGGAAATGCTGGGAACAGCCTGTGGCATTAGGACCTGAAATCAGGGAGAGGAATGGAAAAGGCCCTGAAAATGCCCTTTACCTAAGGTTGACCTTGAAAGAAATTATTTCTGGAACGACTTTCAGCCTTTCCAAAATACACACACGTGCATGTGCACACACACACACACACACACACACACACACACCCCTTCCTTTTTTACTCCAGGCAGATTTATGGCTGAATATATTATTATTTTATTTGAGCATATCTCCTTTTCCACCTTTGCAATGTAATATAGATAAGGTCCATATCATCTAGTACATCCTTCAGTAGAAACTTAAGAATTTGGGACTAAAAATATAGTCCCAACTTTGTGATTTTCAAAGCCCTTGCATATCAATCATCTTATTCTATTGTTATAATCCTGTAAGGCAGAAATGATTACCCCATTTTCCAAATGCAGGAACTAGCCCACTTGATACCACACAGCTAGGCGGTGGCAACGAGGCTCAAGCTCACATGCCGTGGCTCCAAGGTCAGTGTCAGCATCATGGCAGAGCTGAACGGGGTGTTGAGTCAGAGAAGAACTGAGTGTGACAACAAAGGGGTAGCTGAGGACTCTGGGAAGTACATGCCCTCACTTGGGAGGCAAGGGCAGACCATTTGTTATCACCAGCACTGCCCTGCCAGAGGTCAAAACACAATCTGAGTAGTTCCCAATAGTTCATTTTCCTATGAAGGAAAACAGAATTTTAATGAACAGATTTGTTTTTATTCAGATGAGTGCTAGATTTGGGAGATTGTCATGTCTCAGGTGAAAGGTACAGACCAAAATTAAAAAAAAAAAAAAGGAAAGAAAAAACCTAACTCCTCTGCATGTGACAAAATGTACAAGAGTAAGGATCGATAGTACAATTGATTGTAACAGGTCTGTGACAACTGGTGGTGACAGTCAGGCCTAACAAACTGTCTTCTTTCTCAGACTTTATCTGACAGCATTATGCTACAGCTCAAAACACTTCCAGATGGGTTTTTCTCTAGCGTTCCAAAAACAGTCAGCTGAATTAATTTATACGTTCATTGTGCTAATATTGTCAGCCACACAGATTAATCTATTGGTCAGAACATCCCCTGCGCCTCAGGAATGGTCGTTAACCCTTTGATTACTCCCCTGGTCATGCTGAACCAAAGGAAGCCTTCATTTAGTCTTAGCATTTGGCTTTTGCAGGTGGGAGCTTTCCTTCTGCTGTCCTGGTGGTTGCCAGACTGCCTCAGTGTGGAAGGTGCTCCACTGTTGTGACTGGGATGGGACCTGGTGACCCTGGGACCCCCAAAAAGGTTTTAACACCACTACGGTGTGCCTTTGGGGATGAAGTTTTCCCTCAGGCTTCTGCATACCCCCAAACTATTGAGCAAATGCCTACTGGTCATCAGGGCCCTGAGGTTATCGGTGCAGGGATGGAGCGGGATGCATGCCATAGTTAGCAGGTCAGCTGCGCTGAGCTTTGTCTCACATTATACCCTACCGGGTAACAATGCTATAAAATCAGAAGCAAGGAAACAAAAATCAGAATGGTCTCTGGAAGCTACAGGCACATGAACCTAACAATCTTGTCTGTTTTGAAACCGGAAAAACAAAGCACTTTGCTATCAATCATCTTACTCTATTGTTTTGATACTGTAAGGCAGAAATGATTACCCCCGTTTTCCAAATGCAGGAACTAGCCCGCTCGATATCACACAGCTACCCAGGAACTTTCCTTCTGCTGTCACAGGTGCTGCCAAACCTCCTCAGTGTGGAAGGTGCTCCACGGTTGTGGCTGTGATGAGACCCCAAAAAGACTTTAACACAACTACAGTGGGCCTAGATGCAACCAATGATCTTTCGTGCAAGTAAAGCAATTTTTTTTTTCCCTTGGAAACGAGCAGAGCTCTTATGGCTACAACAAGTTTCTTTGGATCAGCATTACCAACAGGAGTAACCAAACCATCTCTTCCTTCACGAATAAAAATTATACCTCCTCCCCAGTGAGGGTTCAGTCCAGCCTGGGAACCACCTGAGATTCATAAAGAGTCAAGGTGGCCGACGTGCAGTCTCTCTAGGATCCTTGAGATCTTCTGTGCCCACCTGCATCTTGAACTGTTGACTCTGGGGAGACCAGCTACCTCCCTGGCCACTCATGACTTTGTCTAACTCCAGGTGATCATGACTACAAGGGACTACAAGTGTGGTGGTCTGTAGAATGTGCACAGAGAGCCCAGGGGAGCGTGCAGGGAGAGGTGTCTGCAGCAATGTTCTGAGTCTGACTGCCTGTGCTGAAATCCAGGCTGTGTCTCTTTTCCGACGACCTTGACCACATTGCTTCACATTTTTGTACCTGTCTCTTCCTCTGCAAGATGGAGATGATTGCATCTGCCTGGAGTATTGTCAGAATTAAATGAGGTAAGACATGAAATCGCTGAAGAGAGTGTCTGATACATTATGTACTTTGGGGGGAAGAGGACTGATGGTAGAAACGTTTCTGACTAGGCACAACTGCCTTCCTTCTTTCCCCCAGAACAGCAGTTCACCAAACTCCCTGAGCCTGTGCCATTCCCACAGCTCTCTGCTGCCCCCTGCTGACATCTGGTTGATACTAGTAGCGTAAGGGTTCTAGCTCTTCCATTCCTTGCCCCACAAGCACCCTACTGGACCACCAAGCTGAAACACAGAGCATTCCTGTAAAACCCCATGCCTTGGGCCTTGACCATGCTGTTTCTTCCATCTGGCATGCCCTTCCTTCCTCCCCATTGACCTGCCAAAACCAGGTCCACCTCAAATACCACATGACACGGATACAGCCTCCCTGTGCTCTCCCCCACCAGCACCCCATAACGCACAAGGAGCACTTGACTCCTTCCTCACATCACATTCTTCTCTGTATTGTAATAAGTTTTGAAATTCTCTTACCACCTCTTGCTAGGAGGTCAAAACTATGCCTTATTTGTCTCTCATTGCCCCAGTAGCACCCATGTCATAAAGCCCCTTCACAGAGACATCCTCTGCTGGTACTCGTGCTGGAACTGCAGCCTCGCAATTGCCACACAGCTCCCAGCTGTGTCATCTCTCATGCTCTCCCGCTTCAACTATCGCAGTAACCCCCTAACTGGGGTCCCCAGATCCACTCTGGGCCCATCTCCCATCCATTGTCCACAGTGCCAACTTGTAGGTCCTGTAACACTCTACATTCTCCTGCAGCAGAGACTTTCCAAGTTGGCAGCCCTCTTGCTGGGAGCCTCTCTCCCACCTCACCTCCTCTAACCTTCGGACTTAAGCTCAAAGATACCCAAACAAACCTTCCTTGACCCTCTTCCTATATGTGATTTGCCTGTGCATGCTCTCATAGCAGTATCTTCCTAACAAAAATGTCATCATAGTTGTAAATTTCTATTTGTGGTCATTTGATGAATGCATGTCTTCCCTTAGGACTAGCTCCATGGGGACAGGGCCTATGCCTGCTTTTCCTCACCACTGTATCCCTAGCTGCCAGCATAATACCACATATACATTAGATACACGATAAATATATGTTTAATAAATAAACAAATCAAAGGAGCCATGTTAAACAGAATCTTAGCCAAGGTGCCAAAATCCATTAAATATATTAAATCTAAAACCTTATATTGATTCCATTTCTATCATTCATATTTAAGTCATTCAATTATAGACAGAAAGATATGTAGGTAGGTAGATAGGTAGACAGACAGACAGACAGCAAGGGCCTCTCTGAAACACATTCAACAAGAAGCCAGAAAGATTCTTCTGATGCTTACCTTCGGTGCTCATATCTGGTGTCGGCATCCAGATGTAGACCAAGCCTTCTTCCCTATAGAGCTTAATCATGGTGTCTGGTGTCATGGGTTCTGGGTAGCGGTTACAGCCCGAGGAATTCTGTACAATATCCCATTCAGTCTGGAAATTCATTACAGCTGTAATCCCCAATTCATGCTTCAGTTTGATGGTTATATGTTCCACCTGACGAGGGCAGCTACCCAGCCAGATATTTGGTAGAATTCTAATGAGAATATATAAAGGCAAATATTATTATTGTTATTGTCATGGCTTGAGCTCTGAGGAGCTGCAGAAAACACGGTGTAATAAAATGCAATTAACCTTTAAATCTGGCACAGGAAAAACTGCAGTAACAATATTAGATGGTATAATAAAATTAGTGATATAATAACAATATTATTGAAAGAAAAAATATTGGTGGTGTCATTTTTAGGGAAATAATTCTATTAACTAAAATGCTAGGAAATAAGCATTAGCAAGACAAATCTTGCAACATATTAAAATAAGCCCACTAAGTTGAATTTATTCTTTGAATGTATATGTGGTTCAAAATTAGGAAACTCAACATATTTCAAACACTAACAAGTTAAAGGCAAAACTTCAATGATTATATCAGTCAATTCATTTGCCAAAATCAGCCATTGTTCCTGTTTAAAACTCTACATAAAAATTTCAAATAGTAGGAAAACTTTTAAACACAAGAAGCTAACAAACAACAATCTTCTTTTAAACAAAATCAAAGTCAAGCTTATATCCATTAGTACCCAACATTGTCCTATATGTTTCATCTAATGCTATAAGAAGAAATAGAACTATCTGGAAAAAAAGAAAGAAAATGTTCATATTTTTTTTCAAGCATGTTTCTCTATCTAATATCCCAAAGGCTGGACCCCACCCTCAAAGTTTTTGAGTCAGTAGATCTGGGTTGAGAGTCCAAGAATTTGGACTTCTAACAAGTTCCCAGGCAATACTGATGCTGCTCATTGAGTGCAAAACCTTGAGAACCACTCCCTAAAAGATTCAATTACAAAAGCTATGCAACTATTAAAAGTATTAAGATATCTGGATGAGGGAAAATGTACAATAATCAAACAGCTCTTCTATGTACTCACAATAGCCAGGTAGAAATGGGGCAGTGGAGGTGAATCTCATTCAAAAATAGAAAGAAAATTATAAAACATCTGGGAATACATTTAACCAGAAAGATTTATGAAATTTATTGGACATTAAGAAAAAAAACAATAGATAGACATACTGTGATATTATGATTTATAATAAGAAATATGTATTTGGTCTCCATCTCAGTTTCCAGCACAGTTTCCTGAGTGATAAAAGCCCTAAAGGTGGCTTTTGTTATGTTAATTAAGTAACTTCGGACAGCACCCACCCTGGGCTGGTTGGCAGGGGAACCAAATTTGTGACTAGAGGACAGAAGCTTCCACCCACCCCTCGGCTTCTGGGAAAAGAGAGAGCTGAAGGTTGAACCAATCACCAATTGCCAATGATTTAATCAATCATCCCTATGTAATGAAGCTTCCATAAAACCCAAAAGGTCATGATTCCAAGAGCTTCCAGGTTGGTGATGCAGGAAGAGTGGGGCTACCCAAGAGGGTACAGAAGCTCTATGCCATTTCCCACGTTCCTTGCCCTATGCATCTATGCTGTCTGACTGTTCCTGAGTTATAACCTCTTAAAATAAGCCAGTAATCTAGTAAAATGTTTCCTGAGTTCTATGAACTGCTCTAGCAAATTAATCAAACCCAAAATTGGAAAGGGTCATAGTACCTCTGATTTATAGCCAGTCCATCAGAAGCACGGGTAACAACCTTCATTTGCACGTGGCATCTGAAGTGAACAGTGGGGGAGCATCTTATAGGACTGAACTCTTAACTTGCAGAAGCTGATGATATCTCCAGGTAGATAGTGTCAGAATTAAGACACCAAGCTGTTCTCCAGAAAATTAGTTGGATGAATGGGGAAATCCCCTCACCCCACACATATTGGAATTGGGCCCCAGAATCCAAAAGACATATCATGCAAACATCATAAAAATGCAAATATTTTCCAAATAATATATAAATGTAATGTACATTATTATAACTTATTGCATGTAGTATATATTGTCTTGCTCACTGATTATTTCACACATATACATCCTCTCCAGAACTAATGGGTTCCTCCAGAACGAATACTGTTTCAACTTTATCTGAATCATGTCACCTAGAACTTTACTAGGTTCAATATAAAGCATTCAGACAACAGTTCATAAATGATGATGGCAAACATCACTTGATGCTCACCAGTGTTCCCAGTTATCCTCTTTCAAGCATGGATGACTAAACTACTTCTCTGCCTGAAAGTTCGAGCTCCTGACTTACTTTTGTCGATAGAAAGTGAGCTGAAGTAACATGTGTCCCTTCCGGAGGGACATATTTAAGACCTCGTGCACAATGCTCTATGCTCTGTCTTTCGCTGCTGTGAGGATCATGGAAACACATGTGGATACTGAGCTACTGGAAGACTGAAGTAGCTTCGAATGGTAAGCTACCTTGGAAGGCCAGCTGCCCTGGAGAGCCAATGGCTCGTTGCATTAAGCCATTGTTTGTTCCCACAGGGTAATCTGACTTGTTCTAATACAGTGCCTAAATAATTAATTCCTTAAAGTCCCTAATGCGCAGCAGGAAAGAAGTTGAGCAGAGGGACTACACTTTTATAAAGTTACTTTCATATTGAGCTTAAAGCAGTCCTTCTCAGTTGGGGACAAATTTGTTTCCCAAGGGCTATTTGGCAATGGTTATGGAGGCATTTTAGATGATGGTGCTGGGTGGTACTGATGGCACCTCATAGACTGAGACCAGGGATTTTGCTAAACATCCTACAATGCACAGGACAGCTCCCACAACAAAGGATTATCAAGACCAAAATGTCAATAATGCTGTGATTAAGAAGCCTTGTTTAGGAGAACAGAAGTGGAATAGAACTCCTTACTCTATGTAAGAAGAAAGGGAATATGGGGCAGGAATAAGACCAACATATCTGACAGTTTGTGGCTCATTGGTGATGTCATTCTGATGATAAGATGGTATTCTGTATCATATTTTTAAATATGTATGTATGTACGTACGTATGTATGTATAGAATGAGAGAGACCTAGAGAGTGAAGCAAAAGTCTAATATAACATAGCTGAATAGCACTACAACATAAGAGGTGAGTCATGGAAAGGGCACTAAACACAAGCAAGAAAAAATGCCAATCATAACATGATCATTTTAAAAGCACTCGGTAATAACTGTCTGACATTAGGCCAAGTTATTTATCATCTCTAAGCCTTTGGTGGTCTTCTCTCTAAAATGGGTCTAAAAATAACTAATTCACGGAAAGTAAATACAAATAAATAAGGTATTTGAATAGGACTGATACTAGTGGATGTATAATAAATGCAAGTTATGTCTATCTGTTATAATTTACTTATTTTAGTAATTTATTTTGTATTGTATTGACTATTCAGATAATTTTCCGTCGTTCTGTGTATCCTTCATTAGAATGCTACAGAGTTTAGAACACTCATCCTATTTTCTTAAATGAAATCTAGCTTGCTTTTGTGTTTTGGTTCTTTTTTTTTTCCTTCTGGCTGTTGTTGTCATTGTTAATGCTAATGTAAGAAGCCAGGTGACTAATCCTCAAATATGGGTATTATCCATCCACAATGAAAATATCTCTCAAGATCTAGCATCACCTAAAACTTGAATCCTCCTTACCCTCCAGAAGATAAACCAATTTTTATTGCTGCTTGGGCTCTAAGCCTAATAGGTTCTTAGGCATTTCTTATGGGCTATTGAAGATGATTATGGAAAAAATAAAGGCAACAAAATTTAAAATAAAGAGAATAGTTAGAGAAAAAAACCTAATGGTATTGTGAAGACGAGCATGGGATCCAAAGGCCTTTCACTTTATTCTTGACCCTAAAGAATTCTCAAATATCCCATGAGGCCAGGAGGCCGACAGAAAAATCGTTAGCAGGGACACTTGGAGAGTGCTCAAGGGATGTGCTTGACCAGGACACTGTTAGCTGAGTATTCAGTCTTCAGAGGAATGGAAAGGACACACAGGCTGGGTCACTGGCCCCTCCCTCTGGCTGTTGAGTGAGAGCAGGGACCAGCTCTAGCTACATGCTCCATCCCTCCTTCCATTGTCCCTTAAAGCTTTCTCCTCCAGTTCCCTGCGGGAGGCCTAGTGGGCAGCAGTGGTGGGCTGTCATCCTAGTGGTGGGCTACAGGGTTGAATGGACCATACTGAAGTTTCCAAAGCTGGAAAAGAGGGCAGTAGACACCCCAGTGATAATAACCAAGAAATATAACCTTTTGAACAACAGTGCATTTTTATTGGTAAAATTTTGAAGTGGACTGGTAAAATATTAAAATGAATATTCAGGACAGGCAAGCTAAATTCCAAACGTTACCCAGAGTTCTCCGGAATATTGCACTTTGAGTGCATAGCACTTAGTATGCAGCTAGAGAATAAATGCCAAAATAAGTGTCTGCATGCAAGATCTGAATAAAGACAAAAGAATAGTGCCTAGAGATATACAAAGAGCAAATCATACAAAATAAGAAATCAGAATGCCAAGCCAGAGTCAGTATATAGAATCACACTGTGTTACTGGGCGGGGGTGGGGGGGGGGTGTTACTCTACCATCTCATTCAATCTTAAATACACTTAAAATTCAAGTGTATTTTAACCGGGGACCTCAGGAAACTCAGAACAAATCAAAGGTAAACAGGCCCAAAGTTGGTACCTTTCCCCACATCAAGTTTCTAATGGAAATAAGCCCTTGGAATACACACTTATACATTCCCACACACACATCAACACTAGCTTCTGAATCAGGTATTTCTAACTTTTTGATAATAATTCTTCCTCTAGAAGTACCACAAGTCAGAGTCCATATTTAAGAAATGAGTATAAATTCTTAAATTCTTGATTTTTTAAGCAAGATGTGCTGAATCTAGGAGGTAGATCACTAAAGATAAATTTTGAAAACAAGTGCTGTGTTGAAGAATAGAGAATTAAAGTTATAAAGTAAATGGTACTGAATCGTTATATGAGATGTGGAGCCAGAGGACTGAGTTTGTTGGAAACACACAAATCAATGGATCCTGCTTCATTAGACAGCCAAAGTGCCCTTTATATGCATCTTATTTCAGCTTGTTGTCTGTAACAAT